GAGCGGCGGTCCGCGCTGTCTGTCTGACGCTGTTGCCCTGATCTGCCTTTCAGATCGGTTGTACTTCGCCACTTTACGAAATAAACCGAAAAGTACCGTAAATACCCACTACTTCTGCACTGATGAGGAACTGGTCTACGAAAAGTAAGTGGTGTGATCTGTTTGTGTTTTTCATATTCAAAGTGAAATTCAAAGTATGCTCAGGTGGCTGAGATTCTTCCCAACGCTCTCTAATGCTATGTAGAAGATTTTTGCCCCACTTAGCTACTTGCACAAATTATGAATATAAAGTTAGCCTGAGTATATTTCTACATTGGCTGAAAGTAGTTTAACAAGATTGCTATTTTAAAGAAACAAAAAACCACCTACGAGACCAGTTAAAAGGCTTAAATTGTGGTTGAGCTAGGGGAAGGATATCTGAGTTTTGTAAGATTTGTTTATAAGGTGGAGAAGATCTCTCAAGACTAATTACATCTTATTAAATGGTGTCTTAAATAGAAGGCTGTTGTTTGGTATGAATAGATGGAACAATAGTTTGGTTTATATGTATTTTCCTATATAGAGAGTATGAAGTGATCACCTCTTACACAGAATGCAAAACGTTAATGTGCTTTTGAAGAACATCTGCAACTTTTTTAGAAGTCTGCAAAAGGTTTTGAGGTAGCACTTCCTGCTGGCTTTTGTAACTTTGGAACAGCAGAAAAAATATTTTCTGTGAAGTAAAAGCTTCCTTGTTTGGAAGAAACTGACAGCACATAGGAGGTCATCAGTAAAATTGATTATACTTGTCAATACTATTAAAGGACATAAAATACACTAAACAAATAAAGTAATTGCTCTATGCTGTTCTTTAAAAAATAGTTGCTCTACACTGTTTCCAGATCAACTGCTTCATGTGTAATGATATATCTAGCCACTGGACAAGGGGTTTGCTGCAGCACAAGTGAAACAAAAAACTTAGTTCTACTTTAAATCTAACTTTCTTTCCATGTGAGTTGAAGAATTTGTGAGAATCGGCCATTCATCCTTCCTGTCTCTAGTGACTCATTACTGCTTCTGTGAAGATGTAAACGAATCTCCCTTGGTTTCTAGTTTACTTTCTATGCACACCTTACCGTTTTAGGATTTCTTTTTTACATGTTTTTGAGTCTTCATTAATCTTCAGGGGTGTGATTCGTTCCCAAAGTTGACTGTTGTAATTAACTGCTTGGGTTGGGAGCAGGTTCTGTAGTGATGATTAACTAATTTAGGTTGGAAGGGACCCCAGGAGTACCCTAAGGCAAGGCTGACCTAGTATTAAAAGCAGAATTCAACTGGAGAAGTCCTGAGCAATTTATGTTATATGAATATGTTGCACTTCTTTAATGAAAGAAAAACTTGATCTTGCATCTCTTCTAAGACTTCTACGTTAGGCTTGACCTGAGGTATTTTATTTCTGCTTCTTAATATGGTTCTAGGAGGGTGAAAGAATCTTATGTAGGAGGGTGGGTGGAGCAGTTCTGTACTCTGTTAGTTACAGATGATCACACTAACCAAGGACTGTAACTGGGGTATTTTGTGTGAGGACAGTATCATACTTAAAAAAAAAAAAAGTACTACAAAATTTGAGGGGGAGGAAAAAAGGCAGTATTCTTTAACATGTATAAAGGAAATTCACTAAGTATACGCCTTAACCCAACTACCTGTTAACCACATACCAGGGTGTAACTTGATACCAGATATAATTACAAGATAAAGGAAACTTTTCTTCCTTCCAGTATCTTCTAGGGCATGTCTAAAGGTTTTGGACACTTAACTTGTGGTGTATTTTCTGAATTTATAGTTCCTAATCTATTTGGTCTTTTAACAATATATCCTATATTTGATACCATAATAGTACTCTCTCTTTTGTACTTTCAAATTAGAATACTAAAACATAATATGAGGTAGAAATTGACAGTTACCATGTGGTATGAATGAATTTTGTGTAATAACCTAACTCTTTCACATAACAGGGCTGAAATTTCCCCTGATACTTGTATTGCAGCACCCATCACTGTCAGTGTATGCAATATTTGGTGGTAAAACCATACCTGAGCTTGTTTTTTTTCTTTCTGTTTTCTCTCTCATCCCCAAAGAAGTTTGTATTGTCTAAGGGAAGTTAAAGCAGGTGTCAGTAGGGTTACCATTTCATATATATATATTTTAAATATCTTTCTAAAATGGCAAAGCTAGAGGCAAAGTGAGGAACTGAATGCAAGTCTTTTGGTTCTTGGGTAAATACTGATTTTACTATAGCTTCCCTTTTCCTTATGCTCATCAGTGGGCTTGACATCAGGCTGTTGTGTTTCACAGGCTGCACAGCAAAGTGAGGGGCCTGACATCAGGGATTGTCTGTAAGTAGCAGTGAAGTGTAAATTTAATACACTGGACTGGATCTTCTGCTCGTTTTCTTCAAAAATGCAGCCTTCTTCCTGAGAAAGTGATTAGAAATATTTGTTACATGATAGCAAAATAAACAGTTGGAAGTGAATATTGAAGTGCTATAGCTCAGGACAGTGGTTTCCAGAGTCTTCATTCAAAATGGCCTGTCTGTGCTCTTCTTGCCAATCAAAGTTTCATGGCCGCTTCTGCTTTTTAGTCAAATGAGTTGTTCAGATTGTTACCAGAAGGAGGATAGGAGAAGTCTGCTCAAGCACAGAATCCTCAGCACAAACAGTCCTAGGATCAAAATTGCTTATTGGCATAATTTAGTTTAGATGCATTGCTCTAGTGACAAGACAAAGATCCCTCATTGTGTGTGGAAGTAAACTGCTTTTCTTTGGGCTGTTGCTCTGTTAACTCTAGTGATAACTCTTAAGTATGAGGGGTTACAGAATTTTATTTAGCTGACTGTACTGAGGTGTCAGTTTATTTTCACTGAAGCAATATATGATCTGAAAACCTGATGAATATGTAGGTTTGGGGTTGTCTGATTACAAAGAGCATGTTATTGGATCCCATAGTACTTAAAGTCTCACTGCCTCGCTTCCCTTTTTTCCTCCACTCTTGGAAAGACATAAGGAAGTAATAGTGTTTATTAATAGTATACCCCATTTATTTATCAAAACAGCTGTAGCACTAGATCTAATGGTTTTGAAAGTTTTTGGTCTAATAAATGCTGACTTGTTCTTGCAGCTTGTCATGTGACTTATCACTAAATCGTACACAGGGTGGTTATGTAATCTTGAGTGCTTTAGCCTTCGGTTTTCACTTGAAGTTGTCAACTGTTCTAATGAATTCATAACACTGTCTTCACTTATTTAAGCATCCACAGTTTTAAAAATAATAAAGATAGGCTAAAATGCTTTTAAGAACATCTCAAATACTAGCTGACTAGGAACTCACTACCAGAACTGTCACTATTTTAGTTAAATGTGCTGCAATTTAACCTTGAACCCATTATGTTAGGTAAATGGTATGTAAATTCCTCAGTTGAGGGAACAAGAAACCTGAATGAATGTATCCAATTCTGAATCCTCTTTTTTTGATTGTTCTGTTTCTGTAAGAATTTTGTCAGTCTTGTTCTGCAGTTCTGAGGTCCCTATACTGAGGAAGTCTGCACTACTGCTTATAAGAGAATACAATCTTTCAGGGAAGTGTAGTGCGGGTAACTATTACTTCAGGAAAACAGAGTTAATGAGAAATAATCCAGCTTGAAGAAGACTGTCATTTGGCAAATAGATAAGCCTTGCCTTGGCAAGACCTCAATTAATGAGTTAGGCACTAGTAAGAAGCTTTTTGTTCTCCAAGAATAGTGTCTTTCATGTTTCACCTTTCAGTAAACAGATCTGGGTTGAGAATACTACACTTGGCTGGTTAACTTGGCTTTCACATTTTTATCAAAGCAACTTTCTATGTCCTTTTTGTTGCTGAATAGTTTTCTCAAACAAAATTAAAATTTAGATAATGAGAAACAGAATTCTCTTACTGATAAATTATAATGGCAGCTTTCATAAATCATAATGTTCTTATTCAGCCATTTGTTCAGACTGCAGATCTCTTGTATAAACAGCTTTTGCAGATCTGGTCTCTGACATCTTGTGAGCAGCTGTAAAAGTAATTAATATTATATTCTCTGTACGTCCTATGTTTTACACTGAAACTTCCTTTCAAGCCATGGTATGTTACTTGCCCATTTCACAGCAGTCTTAATGTTAGCTCCTTTCAGTTCAAGCAGTCAAATAAGACTCAAATGTTTAGCTACAACGATATCAAATGAGTACTGCTTGGACTTTGACTTGTAGGACTCATTTCCTTCACTGCATGTGTATATGCAAAGAAGCAGTTTCTCTTTCCTGTGAGAAGAGTAAGGGTTAACTTGTTTATTTTCAGTTTGCCTAAATGCTGCTTTGGCTACCCAGTAACAGTACTTGCATAGGAAACTTGAACTTCTCCGTTGTTTTGTGGCTTATATCATTTGAAAGGAAAAAGAAAACTTAGCCTTGTTACAACAAACAGAGCTTCACACAGAAAACAGGGAATTCCTTGTTCACATCAGCAGCTTTTGAAGACTTGTATTTGACTATCAGATGACCGAGATAACTTACTAAGCTAAAGTCCACAAAAAAAATTAGGAAATTTCCCAGCTTTTAACTTCTATCAATGTGAATGTAGATACAGACAAACCTCATATACTAATTCCAGGGTGTATATTACCGGGATACCTATTTTGTATGTCTAGTTCTTACACATGAGTATTAAGAAAAGTACTCCAGTTTTTTATTTTCCATCTTAAAATGGTAGATTTTAAATTTGTTGCAAACAAGAAAATTAGAAGACCTAAGAACAGAGAGTGTCAGCTTTTCCTTAGACACAAACTGCTGACATAGTTTTATGTTTGAAACTTGTTAACAACTCTGGTGGTCTCTCTAGTCCAACAGTTTCATAAATTGTATACCCACACATTGCTTTAGCATATCAGTTGTCAGATCTTCACATGGAAAAGATAAAAGCAATCACCGAAAGTATTGAGGATTTTTTTGTTTGTTTATTTGCAGTAAAAGGGTGACAGGATAAAACAGATCTGTTTGTTAGACTCCAGTTTTTTATTGGATGGGAGCATAACTTGATATAGGAAACTGCTTATGAGAAACTTGGCCTCTGTTAAGATGACTTTTTTCAAT